TGGCTTACTAATCAGGATTATTAAAGGCAGGGGTACATTTTAGGCAGGCAAAACTGTATATCAATACATGGAGTTTATACATTGGCTTGGTTTAAAAAGGTGGGATATCCTGAAGTAGGGGGCCTATGGGTCCTAGGTGGATTAAGAGATTCTTGGATTAGCAGAAAGGAATGTTAAGATGAGTATGACAGGCCCCTGGGGAAATTGAGAACAAAGAATGCTGTCTGAGTTCACTTCTTCAGTTCTCCCTTTACTGCATTTTCCATCCCATGGTGGTTTATGGAAAACAACTCAAGAACTTATGTTAAGATGCTCATCTTTTAGTTTCCTTGGGGAAGCAAAACACTTCATGACTCTGGCTCACTTGGAGGGCCACTGTTCTCACCAGGTTGCCCATTCATTTTTCTAGGCTACCCAGGTGCCCAGAACTTCCCCTGAATTGACTCAAGATTTTCCTTTATTTCCATGCTTGGAGGGCCCAGCAGGCCCTTAAGAGGGGTCCCTGTTCTGTCTCATTACTAGAAAAAGAAATTCTATATTACAGAAAAACTGTTGGGTCCAAGGTACTTCAAAATTCTGACCTACCAACTGCAGCACATGCACAAAAAACAGCTTAAAATTGACGAAGCTGAACCCCTTATTCATGAAGAGTTAGAAGAAAAAGAGAAGTTTCTAATATAAGGATTTACCAATTGGAGTAAGAGATTTTAACCAGTTTATTAAAGCTAATAAATGGGGTTGTGATGATATTGAAATACACCAAGCGAAAAAGAAGGAACAACTCCAGAGGAATCATTGAATACACAGCTGTGTTCTGGGTGAGATGCAATGTGCTCCAGAAGGTAGACAAGATTGTGGCTCAGGATGAAGAGGAGAGGCAAGAATTTGTTACCAAAAAGTCGGTACTTGTCCATGAGGCTGAATCAAAAGAACGTAGACAGGTGTTTTGGGGATGAGGAAAGTTTATTACCAAATGTAAATAAAGGGCTTATTTATAACCAGCAAAGGAGGGAAAGTGGTAGACCTTCTAGTTTCAAAATCCCAGTTTCCTGAACATAAGCAGAAATACAGAGCTTTTAAAGGATGGGTTCTCAGCTTCAGGTAATAATGGTGGTTAACTATTCTAATCATCCCATCTTTGCCAAAGACAAAGCCTGTGAAAGCAGCCAGCCACCCACCTGGGGGGCTGGTGCCACTTGGGATAAGAACAAAAGGCCTTCTCCCTGCTCCTTCCTGCCAGTGGCCTGAGGCAGAGATGCAGGCTTGAAAGAGACAGAAAACATTCTCCCCTGCTTTTTTTTCTGTCCAGGCCATTCCCTGTTACATATTCCTCACTCTCAATTTCATGCTTCCATATCTATGGGAGGAGGGGCCAGTACTCTGTTACAAATTCAGAAAAGAATTTGCATCAGAAAAGCACTTGAAGCAAAGGTCAGATCATTTAATACAAAGCATCTTTCTTCAGCTGAGAATATCAAATGGTACTAACAAAGGAAAAAACTATACTGAAGAAGAGGAACATTCTTTAATTTGTATGCTTGGATTCAACAAGGACAATGTTTATGATGAATTGCAAGGACTCTCCTCAGTTCAGATTTGACTGATATCTTAAATCCAGAACTGCAGTAGAGCTCCAGAGGAGATATAATGCCTTCATTAACGGATAAAACATAGAACTAGAAGAATAGGGCTGGGAAGTGAACAAGGTGAGCTCTGTGATTGCCACAGCCTATTTATTACCTTGAAAGAGTTTCTAGGCTGCAGTACAAGGAGTGGTTACATAGGCAGAGCCCTGCAGACTCCCAGAGTGGGGGAGACAGAGCTGAGCTCTGGGAGACCAGGGCTGCCCAGAGTTCACACAGAGGAGGGAGGACACAAAGGGGGTCTTAAGAGGGTGCTTCTGAGCATTCAGCAAAGTTGCAATCACATGTGTATGAGGAAACTACCTGATACATGCTACAATGTGGATGAATCTCAAAATAATTATGCTGCATTAAATGAAGGAAATAAAAGTATTTTACCCCAAAATATATTTCTTTGACATATTTTCAGATGGCTCCCAGAGAGAGCCAGCAAACAGAAGTAGTTCTGCAAAGTCATCTTTTGTGGTAGAAATTTACATCTGCAGATAATCTGCATTGATACAGCCAGACCTTTCCTTGTCCTGAACTAAGATTAACTAAGAGTCTGACACCTTTAAAGGTCTGAAAGAAACATTTACTGCCTATTCTTTCTGTGGGCTGCTACCTGTTTTATCTGCATAACAAGACCACCTTTGCTAGCAAGTCTCCTCTTCTGTTCTTTCCATAACCTGTCTTGCCACTATAACCTGATTTACTGTCATAGTCAAGATTTGCAGGGCCACAGGACAGAGAGACAGAGTCACCGAGGCTGTAATTATCAAAAGGAGTTTTGTTGTCTAGCTCGAGCTAGGGTCCGAGCCCCCAGAGTGCCAGCGCAGTGGCCTCTTTTTTGGGCAGGGACCCCCCCCCCTTGTGTGCTAGTGAGCCTTTTATACCTAAGCTGTTTACATGCTGATCATACATCTGCCCCCACAGTGATTCTTACTTCATCCTGCCCCTGATAGGCTACAACTTGTTCCGGGTCCTAGCTGAGAGACTCTGGTTTCGAGTTCTTTGTCTTTCTCTCTTTCTCCTCTGCATCCCATAATGTACTCATAATGCCTTGCGGTTAACAAGCAAGCAGTAAACAGAAGCTGGAAGGTGTCCGTTATCCTAATAGCCCAGTATCTTACATTACCACCATAGCCTGCTTTGGGCCATGCTCTGAGCCTGCATTCTTTCTGTAACCTCAAGATGGTAGATAAGCTTCAGCACCCTATTGGGTAAATCACTCTGTGGTTCTCCCTGAGTGCACATTAATAAAATTTGTATGCCTTTTCTCCAATTAATTTGCCTTTTGAGAGTTGATTTTTCAGGGAACCTTCAGAGGGTGAAGGGGAAGTTTTCCCTTGGCTCCTACAGAAAGAAGACAGATTTTTAGAAAAAGAATACATAATGTATGATTCTGTTAGGCAGATAGTGAGGGATTCTGGGTCTCCTAGGTGAAAGTAGATATCTTGCCTTGGTGCAATTGCCCCACCTGGGAAGAAGGACAAAGGTGGGCCCCATGCCCCCACCTTGGTCCTGCCTCACCTTAATCCTATCAATATGTCGAGCAACAGCCATACCTGGGGTAAGAGGGAATACCCTATGAATCTACCAATCATAACTTAGCATGCCAGCTGCAAAAGAATGCAGAGGACTCTCTAGCCCACAGGCCAAGCCGCATAGGTACCACAGAGTCCAGAAATTGAACGAGAACAACCTATATGCATAGTTATGGTCATGCAACTCCCAACTGTCCAAAGTGGTTCCATGGTGACATTTAAACCACAGGGAGGTCCCAATCCAGGTGCTATAAAACAAGGTGCAGACCATAACCAGGCCCTTCTTCTGCCCCTTCCCCTTGTTCTCCCTTTGCTACAACAATAGGTCCATTCATCATCTGTGGCATATGTATCATGCTCTGTGAGCCTATATCTTGCTCTTGCTCTGTAATCCTCTCTTTCTCTCCTCAATAAACCTCATTTTCATACTTGCCTTACTTTGGTGCATCTCGTCATTCTTGGACCATCAGCGTACCAAGAACTGGCATTTCAGACTGAAACCTGACAATTCCATTTATATAAAATTTTAGAAAATGCAACTAATCTATAGTGACACAAAGCAGATCAGTGATTGCTGGGGGATGGGGATTGGAGGGTGACAAGCAGGGAGGGCCATGAGGGAAAGATTACAATGGGGTACAAAGAAGCTTTGGGGCATCATGGGATATGTTCACTATCTTGATTGAGGACATGGTTTCACAGATTTTTACATATGTAAAACTTATTACATTGTAGATTTTAAATACATGTAGTTTATTTTGTCAACTATACTTCAATAAAGCTCTTTTTTAAACTTTCCTTAAAAAATCATATAGGTTGAGCATTCCTAATCTGAAAATAACTGAGTAGCACCTAAGTGGACACATAGGTACTACAGTAATAGGGTATTGGGCAGGTGGGAGGGGGGGCGGGTATATACATACATAATGAGTGAGATGTGCACCATCTGGGGGATGGTCATGATGGAGACTCAGACTTTTGGGGGGAGGGGGGGAAATGGGCATTTATTGAAACCTTAAAATCTGTACCCCCATAATATGCCAAAATAAAAAAAAATTAAAAATTAAAAAATTAAAAAAAATTAAAAATAAAAAAACTTTTTGAGTACCAACATGACATTCAAAGGAAATGCACATTGGAGTATTTTATATTTCAGATTTTCAGGTTAGGGGTGCTCAACTGGTATGTATTCTGCAAATATTCTACAATCCAAAACAATCTGAAATTCGAAACAATTCTGGTAAGAGATGTAAGAGATACTCATCCTGGACAAATAGAAAGCAGAATAGCTTCCCTCTCAAAGTTATTCTAAGAAAATGAAAGGAGGAGACCAAGTCCAGATAACCTCTTTGCAACTCTTTCCCAACTCAAGCTATCTTTACTAAGATTTCTGGTGTTTGAGGGTGTTCTAGGGTGTTTTAGAGATGTATTATTGGAATCTGTACGGTCAAATATTGCTCTTGATATAACTTTATGCAATTTTGCATTTTAGGACTCATGAATCAAGCAAACAAGTGTGAAAAATGGATTAAGGCTGATGCCCCAAAAGGCACTGTAAGTCTTAGAGGGCAAAGCTGGTTTCAGTCCCTGAACCTGCAGGACTAAGTCTGGTTTGAGTTGTATTTATGATTTTTAACAGTAATTAACAGATCTTTGACTGCAGAAATGCAAGACCACTGTTAATGTAAATGTTGAAAACAACAAAATGAGAATGAATACTGGTTGTTTTAGAGAGGCTTTTTCAAAATTTGTACTTAGCTATGGTATCTATTTTCTATTGCTCTGTAACAAATTACCACAAATTTAGCAGCATAATGTAATACCCACTTACCACACAGTTCTGTAGGTCCAGAGCTCAGCATGACTAGGTTCCCGGCTCAGGGTATCACAAGGCTGGAATCCAGTGTTGGCCAGGCTGAGTTCTGGGGGCTCCAAGGAGAAATCTGCTTCCAAAGTCATTCAAATTATTAGCAAAATCCAGTTCTTCGTGACTCCATATGACCGAGGTCTCCATTTTCTTGCTGGCTACTCTAAGTTTCTAGAAGCCACCTACACCTTCAAGCCAGCAAAGATCCATTGAGTTCTTCTCATGCTTTGAATATTTGACTGCTTCTTCTGCAACCAGTTGGATAAATCTCTGCCTTTAAAGGGCTGACTTGATTAGGTCAGGCCCACCCAGGATAATCTTTGTTTTGCCATATAATGTCACATAATCATGGGAATGATATCTCATATCTCTTCATATGCACAATTTCTACTCCCACAGAAGAGGAGGAGAATATCCAAAGGCATTGGTGTGTATGGGGGGGTTATCTTAGAATTCTTTGTACTCCCATGTGACAGGTTTTCTACTTTGTACCTCTTATGGCATCAATATAAATTTAAGCTATGAATAAAACTTATAAATGCAAACCAGTTGCTATTGATTCTTATTATCTTTTGTGTAATTTAAGACATATCACATTAGGGGGAAAGATTTCATTCAGCTATTTTACAGCCTAATGTATGAAAATAGACTTTCACTTTTATAATATAATGGTATACTGTATAAAATCATTTTATGAATTCCATTTCTTTCAAACCTTGTCTACTCCTGGAACATTTAAATTATACATCAATGAATATACATATCAGATTATAATTTTTATGATTAGGATAAAATCAATTCTTAAACACTGATTTTTAATAAAACTTTCCAAATACTGTGATTTTTATAGTCTTTTTGTTATTAATAATATTCCACTTCTTTAGAGTTCTGTTTTTTAACTTATTTATGAAACAAAAGGCTTTATGGGATATCTCAAAGTCTTTTATTTCACAGTTCATGAAATCAGAATGTATATAAGTTTGAAAGATACTCACATGTTGGTATATTTGGTATGGTTGTGATGTATGTGTTATACTATTAAGTAGAGGAAAGTGTGAGGCAATAAGATAATTTTTATAATCTTTTTTCACCCTCATGCAATTATATATTTTCAGGACTAAAAATAAAGTTGATGAAATTAGCTAACTACAGCCAGAAATATCATGAGAATAACAGCAGTCAACTATATTTAAAGTTATTAATGGAATTGTACATATTTGCATCACATTAAGTCCCAAACAGAAAGCTGCTAAAGGACAAGTAGCCATATTTTACTCTTTTGGACACAGACCATTTATATCAAATACTTAAGGGCCAAAGACCTAAGTAATATCTTTGATATTTTGAGTACTTTGCACTGAGAATTTGAAGATTTCTCTACCTGTCTACTCTACTTCTTGGTCTCCTATCATAGTTTGCTTTTTCTAACACCTACCCCTTTTATTTATGTAGCTATAAAATTTGTCTCCCCAGAATGAATGAATGAATGTGTTTTCTGCTCTTCTTTAAAAGAGCATGTTACTCAAAGAGTTTTGGCACAAACCTCTGGGACAGTAAAGCAACCTGCTGGGTTTCCAGTGACCTTAATAAGGTTTCTCCTTATCCTGGTCTTCCCTGTGCAGAAGTTATTCTGTTAGAAAGCAGTTGCTTCTTTTATAGGTCTCTCCAGTTGTGTGCATGAGACAGTTACAGATCATACTTCTGAAGCCAACTTCTATGCAGCTACCAGAAATCTCCAAATTTAGTTAAAAACTGTAGTGTTTTAACAGTCATCTTAAGTCTCTCGGCTAAGGTCTTAAAACTTCCTACTGATTCCCCTGCCTGCATGTCCACTCCCAAGAGCCTTTCCACAGCTAAGTGATACTACCTTGTTTAAAAACTTTCAAAGTCAACCTAAAAAAAGAGAGAATTATTAAAAGCATTTAGTGAATACAAAGTACCCTATAATAATACTCTGTAGAGCCCTTTAAAACTTTTCAAAATAACTTTCATATCCTTTAAGTTTTTATCTTTATTTCAAATTTGTGGGATACAAAAAGGGATTAACCCCAGGTAAGAGGTAAGTAATTGAGGAAATGGAAAGGTTAAAAGACTTATCTAATAATATTACTGACACAGCTTGTTTGTGGCAGTCAGAACAGGGTTGTGTTTTGTCCTGGATGCTTGTCAACCTCAGTGTTATATAATAACAAATAATGATAACAATATGTGGATGAAAACTTAGTAAAAATTAATATGGAGATATGCAATAAATACCCATACCTCCTAGCATAAAATTGAGGGAACATCCTTTTTGACATAGCATAGTTTAAAAATTCCTCTATAGTGCAAATTTGATTTAAAAGATATTTCTGAGACATTGCAGAGACTTCCTTTCTGTTCACAGATAGTTCTTGTTTTTATTTAATTTTCCCCTGACTGTTAAGATGTTGAGATGAATCCAGCATTAACTGGAATTTAGTTCTATTTTGTTGTTAAATGTCTGGAAATCACAAGAAAGCCCTGCTCCCTTTGAAAATATATGTCTATGTTCTCTATAATGAAGCTTCACAGATCCTTAAGTCATCATCCTGGCCCAAACTCTTCCTTGACTTATATGGCCATCTCTGCCTTCTTTTTCCTTTCTAAAGACAAGCTTCTAAATTCCTTGTCAAAAAAAGTCACATCTCTCAGGGTTGTTTCATATACCCACAACTTTAGATTTGATAAGCTCATCAAAACTTTTGGTTTGATTCAGTTAAATTTAGGTAGAAAATTTGCATAGTGGCATAGTACTTGATTTGGCTTCTTTTTTTAATAATGATTATTAGACAGAAGGACTAATGATGTATTTAGAAACATTTGCAGTTGGAATAATAATCAGAAGATGATTTGTTGCTTGTTTATATGGTTATTGGGTTAAAATACTTGCATCAAAAAAAGAAAAAGTTGCTAAATTCTAGATATTTTGTTCTTCCTGCTTGAGGCTGAAGGTCACACTTAGTCCTCTTCACTACTGAGTAGGGAGTCTTTCAGTGTCAATTCTAAGACCCCTTTAGATGGCATTCTTCCCTCAGTCTCTGCAAGACGGTTGCCTTCACCATCATATCCAAACCAACGTGGAGGGTCATCAGAGCTATGTTCCTGCTGCTGAACTACAGATGACATTCTGTGAGCTGCCTCCCTGTAATAACAGTGATTAGCATTAGCTAGTTGCAGAAGTAATACCTAGTTCAGAATTTTCAAACTAAACCAAATTTCGAGTTAGAGAACTCACTGTCACAAGTCAATTTCACTTCAGAGCTCTCTGAAGCTCTCTGAGCTCTCTTACTGAGAGGGAGGGTGTGGGAAATTGTGCAAAATAGGGTCCCAACGCCTAAGTAGCTCTCTGGTTCAGCCAGTTCAGAGATTGACACAGTGAATGGGTAAGGAAACTGCATGTGGCCATGGATGGGAACACTGAGGTCACTCTATTTACACTGCTTTTCAGAAAGTCCTCTGCCTACTATTTCCAGTTTCTTTGATGAGGGAGTAACCCAACCAGCCAACCTGTGAAGACTGACCATGGTCAGGAGCTCTTAACCTGGAGTTCACAGATCCCTTTTGAATACATGAATGAACTTCAGAAAGGTTCATGAGCTCCCTGAAAATCCATACAGTTTTGTCTATAATATACATTTTTCTGAGGAAAAGGTTTATGACTCAAAGGTATCCATAACCAAAATGATGAAAAATACTGTTATAGTCTTTCTTAAGAGGAAATAAGGAAGGAAGCAAAGAAGGTATCAAGAAAAAATGTAGGTCTAACTTCAAAACAAAGCCATTTTGAAGACAGAAACAACTTCCTTTCCTAGGACATTGGTTCAAATCACCAGACTAGTACTAAAAAGAAATGAGTAAGTGGCCACATCTACAGGATTAGAAATGAGTTAACTATGATGTTTATCCATGAAGGGACTACTTTCCCCACAATTTCTCTTTGTTACGTTGAGTTATTAACTGCAAAAGTCTGGAAACTGAGTCATTGATGTGAAGCTGTATCACCATGCACTTGGAGCTATGTTTGCCCTAAATGGCCATGTGAGTTCAGGTAAGACAATGAAATTGGAAAAAGCTGAGATACATCAGTTTAAAATGCTGTTTCACTTAAATCCAACCTTAGATGTATTGAAATGATTGTAATCAAACTCAACAGGGAGACAATCAAAGCATTGCTAATTCTCTTACCACTTGCTTTATGGCTTATATATATGCTCTCACACAAAACACACAGAACAATTTGAGTAAAAGCAATTGTCATATACGAATTTCTAGTTTGGAGCCACCAATCCCTACGGTCTAAAACTTGGTACACAAGTTTCTTCTCAAATTTTAAATAAGTTTGTGGTCAAAGATAATGTTTTGCATTCTATTAATTTTTTAAATCTTTTTTAGTGCTGCAAATATTGTAAATCTCTCATACAATCTTTATGCTTCTTCTAAGTAAAACATTATTAAGTAAAAATATTAATAATAGGCTTATATCTTTTGTTTTCCCCATATACTTCTCCTGATATTTCTCCCTGTTCACTTCTTTGGAGTTGAGATTATCGTATCTTTCAAGACGTTTTCTGAAGATTTTTCCCCCAAGGACTTACCACAACATAATACCAAATGTTGAGGGAATATGAAGCATAAAGCATTGGCACCTTTGGTTTCATGTAAGTAAAACATTATCCTAGTCAACACAGCACCATTGTTACTGACCCCTTACCCCATCTCTGCCTGTCTGAACATTATCCATTTTTCAAAATTCCAAACAATCCAGGCTCTTTTGTAAAGACTCAAACCCAATCCCTTCCTCCTCTGAACATCTATAGAAAGTTAATCATAGAATTAGTTTCTTTTTAATACATAGCTTCATGGCATTAATTATTTATAATTTTAAGCTTTTTTATTTTCCTTTTGTTGAAGAAGGTAGTGAGTTATTTAAGGGCATACTATTATACATTTCTTTATATCTCCTTGAAACCTATCATTAATAGCCAAAACAAGAGATTTCATCAGCTCACACCAAGAAGGAAAGTCCTTTAACCCTCTTGGCTTCTGCTGCTTTGCTGGTCTAGAAGAGATATTCTATATTCCTATTTCCTACACCCTCCTGCTCCCTGCCTACAAAATGGCAGAGCTCTGACACACATACTGCAGTTCACAGTGGTTCATAATGATTCGATGCCACTGACATTGACTAGTACAAGAGTACTACAGTTAACAGCAACAGTCTTGACTTATAGGAAAAGGAAATAATGGTTTAAGGGAGTAAAAGATTTGCAAGTACTAGTTGACCAAAGTATATCTTACCTTTAGCTTCAGAACATCAACAGTTGCTGAGAGTTCTAGATAATTGGTAAGAGAACAAGTACTCTTAATGCTAAGTTTGGAGATGTGTAAATAAATAGGTCATATAGTTGGTTCTTCAGTCAGCGACAAGCCAGGGTAAATTAGGTGGAAATTGTCATATAAAAATAATTCACAAATAGTGGGGATTTAAGAAGATAAAAAGAAGAAAGGTGGGGATGTCCACTCCTCAATATAGATAAGGAAAACAGGGAGACTACTCATATGTAATGTGATGGGATAGAATGATCATGCTCAATGGTGTGTGCATTTCTTAAATTTGCTTATTCCTTCGTTCCCTGCCCCACCCCCCTTACTCTAGCTCTTAATGGTGAGTACTGCTCTCCATCCCAGCCACAGTCATCTTCAGTGAGACTAAACATCTCTGGGTCCCTGACCACTGGAAGAGACACTGATGGACTGGAGGGGAGCAAAGGATCACGTCTCAGATTCTCCCTTCTCCCCAGGCTCGAGTGCCAGAAAGTTAAGGCTTCCTCCAATCTGGTGTGTCTCTAGGGCCTGTTTTAGTCCTAGGTGCTTTCACAGCGAGGGTGGTCTTGGGGGAAAAACTGAAAATCAGGATCTGTCCTAGAGAAAATCTGGGATTAATTTTAGAGGCATTTGAATGTTAGTGCAGACTGTTCCCTATCCCACTTCTTCCCTAACCTTCAGCCCCTGAACTCACTGTCCTCACCACCTCACCAGGACCTTTGACATCCTCACAAGGACTGATTCACCTAAGACTCAGGACCTTGCCAAGAGAACAGATCAGCATGGTGACTTCCAGGAAGTTTTTCTGAATTATTTATCACAGCATCCTATGTAGCTATGTGTTTGCACACAAAAAGAATTCACTTTTGAAAAGTATCAGGAAACTTGAAAATGTAGAAGCTAAATGCTCCTGCCAGACACCTCTCTCTCTCTCTCTCTCTCACACTCACTTTCTCTCTCTCTCTCTTTCTCTCCCCCCCCCACTCTTCTCTCCTTCCCTCCCCACCACCCCTAATAGCTTGTTGCTCTAGTATAGTCAGCACATGGGAGCTAGGAAGTACTGAGAAGAAAATGTATACTTAGGAACCACTGTGTGTTGTAAGTTCCTAAGAGAACATATGGAATCCTTTTAATACATTCCATTCTGCCTTGGACTAAGTGACTGCAAGACCTGTATGAAATGATTTGGGAATTGAACCAGTCTACTGAGTAATGAGTAATGGTTAGTCATCATTACTCATTTAACCTGGTGAGAGGTTTCTTTGGATCATGTAGAACAATGGTTTTTAAGTATCACATTAGATAGTTAATAATAATGCTGGCTGAAGTTTGTGATTTTTGTTTTTGATAAATTGAAAGGGATTTACGGTTAACTCTGTAGTAGCATTACTTGTCCTCACATTTCCTTCTAATTTCTTGAGTAGGTTAAAAAGGGGAGTGTTGGAGCCACCACCAAAGATTGCTCATAATCAGCAGCCTCTCTTATTATGCATCAGACAGTAAATTGGGCACAACAGAGCCCTTGTTGACCCCATCTGCTGAATGTCAGAGCTTTAAAAAAGCTGGAGAATCTGAGAACAAAAGAGCATTTCAAAAGAGTAATGATTAAGATCTAGCTACAAAGCATGGCTCTGCCTTTTATTTGTGTGACCTTGGGCATGTTACTTACCCTGTTTAAACCAGTTTCCTCATCCATTTTTATGATGGTAGGGTATTTGTGAGGATTATAAAATATATGTAAAATAGGATTTAGCACAGTGTGCAGCAAATAATAGTTGTTCAATAGCATTATTTGTTCATACTAATAATTAAAAGTCAACACTTCCAAATCAGAAAGTCTTGACCTTCCCATGAGCTGGAGAGAAGAACTCTGAGAAGAGTTTTATTTCCTAGCAACACAGATCTCTCAGGATGCCTGGGCAGTAGGGACTGCCTGAGTTTATGCTGCTATCAACTGCTAAAGAAGGCCTTTAAGGAATTTTTATACTGTTATTTGGGGCTGTGAAAGCCACCAAGACTTTCTCTATTGATCTCTCTAGAATTGAAAGTTTGGGGCTTCAGACACAAAAATATAAGAAAGGCTCCTTTACTTTTTGCTAACTATAGATTTAATTACTCTTTGGCTTCTCTGTGGTTCAGACTCTCCTGGGTTGTAGAGGCCACTGTGAGAGTCTTTCTCCCTGTCTCCCACTCTCTGTCCCACTGCATTGCCTTTCTTGCCATCCCCACAGAGCGCCATCATTTGAGTGTGTGGTTGTTACATAACTCCTTCAAATACAGACAGCTAGATTTTCTTGTCATGCTTTATGATCATAGTTGTTATTTATTCCTCCTTAAAATAAAGGAGGCTTTATCTTGCATACACATGGGGCTTTGGGGGTCACTTCCTGGGAGCCCTTCAGACTCTGGGCTTGGTATTAATAGAATGACAGCTATATCTTAATCGGCAAACTCTTGCAAAAGAGCTACAGCCAGTTTGCTCATTGACCAAAAGTTTGCTGCTACTCTGGTTCAGGTAGGTGGGCTGAGCAGATCACTTTGATTTGCAAAGTTGGTGTAGTATTTTCAGATTCCATTGAGTATGAGGGAATTTATACTTAAAACAGTTTCTTATGAAAGATGTAATTGGATTTTAGGGGTTTAATCAGTTGTCAAAGGGTCCATTTTACCCAGACAAGACAAAACCACTGCAGCTGAGGGAATCACATTGGCCCTAGTTAGAGAGTGAATGTAGTTAAGGGATTAGAGATTATTGAGAACTTGAGTTGTGAAGTGACTACATACAATGTTCACTGCCAACTCCACCCAAGTATCTAAGTGGAGAAGGAAGCTGCTCTACAACTCCTACAGCTGACCCAAACAGCTGCATGTGGCCAGGACTTACCACTTCTCTAATCAAAGTTTTGAGGCCCAGGTATCTCTGGAGCCCCCTGGCTGATAAGCTGCACTCTCTCCTAGATCTTGGACATAAAGATAGATGTTTCTGGAGCCTTACTAGTCCAAACACTGGGACTCTCCAAGCCACTCTGCAGTGAGGTCAGTTCTTCTCCATTGCTAAACAAAGACAGAATCAAAGGATTCTAGGCCTCTTTACTGCTGGAGCAGAGCAGGGGTAGAGCCTTCAGGGAGACTAAAACTTGATGGTGCGGCCTCTTTAGACAAAGAGATGCACAGACCAAACCCAACCACCACCACCACCACCCCGCCCCACCCCCAGGCATTAGAGCCAAGTCTCTGCCTGGCTTTGCTGATTAGGGACAGCCATGCTTGGTAGTAGAAGATGAAACAGGCCTTTTGGCTGTCCTGGCTTAGACACAGGAATTTTTCATACATCATGTTAGTTAATTAGAGTTTTGCATTGAGGTTAGGGTACAAAGCCCAGCTAGTAGTAAAGTCTTACTCTGCCTTGTTTTGTTTTCATTGTATGTTTTTATCTAGCAGCCTAGCAAGAGGACTGAGTAGTTAAAGGAGGATTTGGATATTACTGGACATCTTAGATATTTACCAGATACCATATTAATCACACTTCCACATCCCATATGTCTTAGTCTGTTTTGTGTTGCTATAAGGGAATACCACAGACTGGGTAATTTTTAAAAAAAATGTATTTCTGAAAGTTCTGGAGGCTGGGAAGTCCAATATTAAGGTGCCAGCAACTGGCAAGGGCCTTCTTACTGCATAATCCCATGGCAGAAGGCAAAATGGTGAGAGAGAGAGGGACGGGGGCCAAGCTCATCCTTTTATCAGGAACCCACTAGCACAATAACTAACCTACTTCCACAATAATGGCATTAATCAGTTCGTGAGAGCAGAGCCCTCACCACATAATTACCTCTTAAAGGTCCTACTTCTCAATGCTGTTGCATTGAGGATTAAGTTTCCAACATATGAACTTGGGACACATTCAAACCACAGCATCATACCATGATTAGGTTTAGAGAGGCCCTTGTCAGACGGTCTCCATTCATGCTGTCTAACATTCCACTTATTAGAAGTTCAAGATTGGCACAATGCAATCAAAAGGCTAGAAGCTAACTCTTTTGAGTAACACATTGTTCATTCACTGTCACCTTGCCCAAAGTTGGTTGTTTAATGATATAACAAGTTTAGCAGAGACTCCTAGGACTTTATTTCATGGTTATGTGCTTTAAATGAGGTTAATGTTAATAATATTCATATCAGAGTTATCTCCAGACCTATCAGAAAGGATTGAGTCTCTACCATTCCTCAGAAATTTTCAAGGACCTGCCCCCTCCTCTCTGACCCAGCTTCAGCTGGCTGCCTTTCTCCCTGCAGGCCTGGGCCCAGAGGAGTGGCTGTTTTACAAGTAATTTTTCTTTCTTTCTTTTTTCCAATTCATTTCAACACACACAGCTTTGGATCAGAAAGCATTTTCTTTGACTCAGGCCTCAAGTGACCAGAGCTCCATGGTTCAGCTCATGTCATGGCTATTTAATAAAGAAAGTTCCTCTGTGAAATCTACATGCTTAGACCACATTATGCACTTTATACTTTAATAATGTTGATTCTTAGTATTAGTTTTTCCAGCCTGCAGAATAGAACCTGACCTTCAAGGAATGGTCAAGGATTCTCATTTTAAATATTTCACAGGTTACTTTATCAGGTCAGTTAAAATACTCATATATTTTTGCCCTCACTGAATAGGGAAAAACTTAATTGTGAACTTAATCTGAATTTAATAAGATTGTTTTCTTGACCCCTAGGAAGATTTATTGAATGGACTATATTTTGAGAGATAAGTGGAAGAGCTACAGATAACGTTACAAAAGGGCACAGTCAAGGCTTTGGACACCTGCTTGGTCAAGGAAGGGTAGGTGCTTAAAATAGAAGGGCTACCAGAAAAGGGATATAAAACCACAAAGACCATTTTAGAAGAAAGTGTCCCTTGGTTCAACTCAAAATGTTGGCTTCAATTGGGCAAAAACTAAAATGAAACTTCCTAACACAGAAAGCCACTATGTATTACTAATGCCATAGCCACATAATACATTTTCTCAGAAAGTAGTTCTCAAAGCTTTTCATATTCAGGTACCTACTTGGAAATATGTCCACAGTATAGCATCTTAAGGATCCGGAGTTGTCTGCAGCCTATCTGAAGGTCCTCAAGGCTTTTGTCAGTAAGCAGGACACAACCAGAGATATCCAAAATGTGCAGGTAATGGCATTTTGCTGATAACATCTCTATTGCTGAGTCAGTAATCTGAACATACAGCCAAAATAAGTACTGGTTATTCTTTTTTTATTATTTTTATTTTTTAGTACTGGTTATTCAAACAAACAACATCTCAGGCAAGAACAATGCCTTAGTCAATCTGAGCAACTATAATAAAATAACATAGACTGTGTGGCTTCAACATCAAAGATTTATTTCTCATGGTTCTAGAGGCTGGGAAGTCCAAGATCAAGGTCAAGATCAAGGTGCCTACAAATCTGGTGTCTGGTGAGATTCCTCCTCCTTGTTTGCAGATGTCTGCCTCTGCCTTCTTGCTATACTCTCACATGGCAGAGAGAGAGAGAGAGAGAGAGCAAGCGAGCGAGCAAGCACTCTGGTCTCTTCCTCTTCTTATAACGACATCACCTCATCATGAGAGCTCCATCCTCATGACCTCTTCTAAACCTGTTTACCTCCCAAAGCCCCCACTTCCTAATACTGTCACACTGGGAATTAGGGTTTCAACATGGGAATTATTGGAGGACACAATCGTTCAGTTCATAACAAACAGAAATCAGGACACTTGCAGATTCTTTCACCCAGCTTTCATGTGATGGGTTTGTAATTCAAGTTGGTTGTTTAACTCTGTTTCCAAATAATGTCATAACAGTAAAATGTCTGCCTCAAGTGGTGCCAATAGAAATTGCAATCTTGCTGTTATTTTCATTTAAGAGTCCTCTGGTTTGGATGGGAAACTTCATCAAAATTTCTTTAGTAATGCCTGTCACTCCATTATGAGCAATTTATGAAATGTTATAGAGATAGGATTTGGCTTTAAAGTTAAAATCCCCTCTAAAGCATCATCAATTTGGAAACACATGTTTATGTTACAAAACTACAAAATATATATCCCCTGACATTACCTTGCAGACAAGATCAGATTACTATGAGGAGTCTGGACATCTCTGATGGTTTGAATGTAAGAAAGAAGGAGTAATCTAGAAAGGGACAAGTAGGTAAGACAGATGTTTAGAAGCAGGGGAGATGGAAGAGCAGAAGCCACAAAGATTACATGAATCCCATTCTGAGAAATTCTGCCAGAGTTTCCAACATCTCACAAGTTTTCCCAGATGTCCTGCAGAGGTAATTCAACTATACTTAAATTATTTCACGTACTCACAGTCTAGCTTTTGAATTTATAGCTGAGCTGAGACTGCCGCAGAATCAACTAGATAACTCTCCCCAAAGGAATTTTTTTCCAACTGGATTTAATTTCTTATTTTAAATGTTTGAACATTTTAAAAAACATAAACCATGAGGCTTGACTCTTGTTTTTAATATGAAGTTAAGAGAATTATGCAGAAAAGCATTTCAGTTTGAAATGTATACTGTTTAAGTTTGGAAAAATAGATGTTGTCATTGTTTAAGCAGGCCCTGTTTCCAGAACATGCTCAGGACCAAGGTTCAACATTGTAACTTATTCTCACAAAAATGCCTTCAAACATTTCTGCCATACTATGTGGGTCTCTGAGGATCTGATGTCATTGGGGGATAGGGGAAACAGCCCTCAGAATTGTAGAGGTAATGAACAATGAGGGGATGAAAAGTCCAGGGCAGGAAGAGCTCAGAGTAGTAGGTTTGGTTTGATACTGGGGGAGCTGAAAAGGAGCCAGACAATTCCTGTAGATCAGAAGCTTGAGATGTTCAATGATTGAGGTGATGTTGTTGGGATTTACGGATTGGGAACTGGGGCTGGAGATGGCTTGGCTGCTTTCTCACTACCAGACACAAGGTCATGGGCCCAGCACCACTGGGCAGGGATTACGTTATTCCCTTTCAGAGAGTCAACTACCTTTAATTCTCTGAAAATTACCTACCTTTAATTCTCTTTTTTTAAAAGAAGTTATTTTACATTTTAGAAATAATATAAGCACATCACTAAAAAAATCAGCAAAAATAACAAAGGAAAACAAATTTATCACCTTAACATAACTACTTTTAATATTCTGAAGTATTTTTTATTGGTTCCCCATCCTTAGCTCCCCCATTAACAGAATTATACATATAGTAATTAGATTAATTTTGTATCCTACCTTTTTTTTTTTAAGATACAGGGTTTTGCCAGGTTGCCCAGGCTGGCTGCAAACTCATGGGATCAAGCAATCATTTCAGCCTCCTAAGTAGCCTCCCAGGTACCTGGGACAATAGGCAGGCACCATAGTGCCCAGCTTGGTTTCTGCCTTTTTTCTTTATTTGATTAATGCATTCCCATACTACTTCAGTCTTCATACTTATAATCTTTAATAGTTATAAAATGTTTCATTTAATAGATATAATTTACTTTACCATCCCTATGTTTCTGGTCATTTCAGTTGTTTCCAAGTTTTTAACTATTTAAACAACATTTTGATGACTGTGTTCATGAATGTAGTCTTTTCCAAATTTTGGATTGTTTCCTTTAGGATAGATTTCAGAAGGTGTACTTAATGGGGTATGCTATGGTTTGAATGTTTGTCCCCTTCAAAATTCATGTTGAAACTTAATCCCCAATGTGGCAGTATCAAGAGGTGGGGCTTTTGAGAGGTGATTGGGTCTTGAGGGCAGCCTTCATGAAGGGATTGATCCATTCATAGATTAATGGATTGAAAGATTAATGGATTTCTGGGTTATCATGAGAGTGGGTCTGGTGGCTGTATAAGAAGAGGAAAAGGGATCTGAGCTACCTTATAAACATACTCAGCCCTCTTGCCATGTGATGTCCTGGGCCACCTCAGGACTCTGCAGAGTCCCCAACAGGAAGAAGGCCCTCACCAGATACTCCCCCTCAACCTTGGACTTCCCAGCCTCCAGAACTGTAAGAAGTGCATTTATTTCTTATAAATCAAGTATTCTGTTATAAGCAACAGAAAACAGACTAAGACAGGACATGACTAGTTTTGTGGCTCTTGTTTATATTGTTTCACAGAAGGAGCATACTCACCAATAATGACATCTGCAGCATAAGAACTAGTTTCACTGAACTCTTGCCACCCACTGGGCATTACCATTAAAAATTATATAATTTGGTTGGTAATAAATGATACTTCAAACAACATTTTTAACCAGGATTTCTTATGTTGAATCTTTTTTACACATTGCTTACTACTAGTGTTTTCTCTGGCCTGAATCCCAGCTCTGCCATTATCTAGTTCTATGATGATGGGCAAGTTGCTTAAGTTTTCTGAACCTCAGTTTACCTCTGAATCTCAGTTTGTAAAATAGTTACCCAAGATTGCCATAGGGTTAAATAAGATAATGTATGTGACCAGTGACTAGTATATAGTAAGCACTCAATAAATATAGCTATGATTATGATTATTGATCTCCTTTATCATTAATCTATGAGATCTGCTTTTTCTTTTTGAAGTAGGAGCTCTTTATACAAAAGAGAGCTTGACTATTGTCTCTTTCATGTTTGCTGAATTATACTGTTGTTTTTTCCCCCAGTTCATGTTTTGATTGTTTGGGAAGTCGAGTAATTTCACTAGGACCTCTAGTGGTGATCCCAAGAAAAAGAAAACTTCCTCAAAGATGGGCAGCAGGAAAAGGATCTAAATAGGCCACAAAATAAACTATTGGATCAATAACAATTAGCTTCATGATATATTAATTAATGAAAATCTAATGAAGTGATGGGGGGCGGAGCAAGATGGCGGACGAATAACACCGCCAAACAGAGTCTCTCTGCAGAAAAGACAGATTCTAGCAGAAATTAGAGGAAAGAAGCAAGAAGACGAGCATACAGCGGACAAGGGCCGGAAGGAGGGGTACCTGAGACCCCGGGAGACTCCACGGGAGGAGGCTGCGGAGGGGAACTGGAGGCTGAGACCACCGGAAGCCCAGAGACCAGCGGCAAGGGGTAGGTGGATTTGCTGTTTCCCCTCGCCCTGCAAGCTTCGGGACTGCTGATGGGTTCGGGGTGGGGAGAAGACCTGTGGGAACCAGCCAGGGACGGCCACCACCGCCAGCCAGGCGTGAGCCTGTGGCAGGCGTAGGCACAGGTTCCCCAGACTACCTCCGGCACCTCTCGTGTGCACCATCGGACCGAGCGCCGGAGGCGCCTATTGCGCTCCTGCTCCGCGCTCCGCCGACCCTACCCGCGGCGCCAGAGAGACAATAAAAGCCCACCAGCCGGAGGCACTCCAGAAAGGACCTTCCCTCTTGGGAATGTCACAGTACTAGGGGAACTCAGACGTGGAGTTCCTACCGCCCACCCTGCAGGTGCTGCTGGCACCGTGCGCGTTCGCAGGAGAATGTTGCGATAGAGGCTGAGACGGAATAGGACCCAGCTGTGGCTCTGTGTGGGCTGAATTGGACCGAATCCGTTCCGTGGTGGGATCAGTTTGAAGCCTCTGGGAGGCCAGAGGGTGAGACGTGCAGACCAGCTCCTGCCCCGAGGCTGATGCGCCGGGCACAGGAAGGGCTTATACGGTGAACACGGTACGTGAGGTGTGTGTGTGCCTCAGGGCGGATTGGCATTCCTAGGAGGCAACCCTCTCCAGGAGGAGGCTGTAGCGCCAACCACCGCGTGGCGTCCTGTGCAGGAACCCCGCGAATCGGAGCCTGGTGGCTTGTGGTCTGGGATGCTGGCGAGAGACCCAGGAGGTGTGCTGTACTTGGGCGAGGGGGAAAGAGGCGAGTGCCGCTCCAGACTGCCGGTCTAGGAGCCTTCGCCCATCAACCAGACTTTCTGGCTGAGCGGACCCTGATTCCAGCGCCGCCGCCTGACAGCTTTCCCTGAGCGGTAGAACGAGAACTTGACCCCCTGCTAGAGGCTGATGGGCAGGCTTACACAAATCCACCGATGAGCCTGTTTCTCAAGCAACGCCCGCGTCTACTGACGGATGGTCCTGGATCAGCCTTTTCGCACCACTGCGCTCAATTATTACAGGACGTGGTCCATCTTCACCCACGAGCACTCACACGCGGTCGAAACTACAGACAAGGTGTGTGAATACCCAAACAAAACCTAAAGGAAAAGAGCAACAAGCTGAGTCGACATGGGAAGG